GGTTAGAAGTCACAACAGCCAGACACTAAGCAGGAGATATACAAGCAGAGTGAGGTGGTGGGGAAGATGTTAAGAACCCAAACCTTTCTTCAGACTGTGGGGAAAAGAAGGACCTGGGAAAATGGAGGAGATTTAGGAGTCTGCAGTGGAGTCAGTCTGCAGTGTCTCTTACAGCTGGTGGAAAAGGGATTCTCATTAGCAGAGGAAATCAAGAGACACAAAGAACCTATTGAAGGGGTGGTTTGGAGAGAGAAGACAGAGAAACATCTTCCTTGCAAAGGCTGCCTGGATGGAGGAAGAAGAATGGCCCTCTTACTTTTCCTGAAAAAAAAGAAAAAAGTATTATGGCAGTGCAGGATGAGAAGGGAGCATGACTAACAAAGACAGAAGAGATGCTGAGCTCAGTGAAGGAGTTTTACCAAAATTTATACTCCACCCAAGTGTTATATCACAAAGCCCTTGACTTATTTTTGGTGAGGTTAGAGGTGAGCTTGTAGGAAGATGAGCGGCATCAGCTGAAGAAGGCATGGACATTGGAAGAATTATGGAAAACAACCCAATGGTGATGAGATGATCATATTTATCTCAAGATATTACCCATCATCCTTCAAGTCCAATCTATGTACTGAGGTTCAGAACTGGGCACGACTTCACTACTGATTTCAAGCTTGAGATGGATTCTTTCTTCTTCTTTTGTGTTCTTCCTCCTCTACCTTCTCTTTTCACCATGTCCATTGCGCATAACAAACTTTATATTTTGCCTTCATCTAAGAACTCTACCCCGATGGGGCTTTGGCTTTCTTCTGCAGGCCCTGATGAACCCAAGAGCCTGGAATGGCTCCAGGGGGAGGACTTGAGAGGAAACTCCCATTGTCTGTCTCCTTTGCATCCTTTCAAACACCTGCCACTCAAGTTTGCATCATGCATCCTTCAGACGACTCTGCGTCATTGGCCTCCTCCTCCTCTTCCTCTCACATCTTCCCCCACCTCCTACCCTTTTCCTTAACCCTTGTGACCTCCATTCTCCCTTCCCCTGTTCCTCCTATTGTGCCCTCCCAACTTCCCTCTGACCCTTTCCCTCCCTCCATCTTCTCTATATCACTCATCTCCACCTCTCTTTCCCCTCCCCCCGTTCTCTATATCCCTATTCCCTTCCTTCTGTCCTTCTCTCTTCCCCATTCCTGTTCCCTCTCTCCTTGTCTCCTCCTTCCTTCTCCCTCATGACTCCTCCTGCTCCATGGGCCCCAACTTTCCCTCTCCTTTTGGCCTATTATTTCCTTCTGCCTCATTTGCTTCCTCTTTCTTCTTCCATGTCTGCTGTGCCCCCTGCTTCTTCCTGCCTGTTTTGCCCTGCTGTACTCTCCCCACCCTGCATTCTTTTGACTGTATTTGAAAATGATATGGGACAGGTGCAGAGCACACATGACCTGATTTCCTGCATAAATTACACTTCCGTTTCTTCTTACACTCTTGTACCCCATTACCCTTCTCTCAGCACACTGTGCAAATCTCATATGGGTGGGCCGCTGCCAAATGCCCTTCCTCCTTGCACCTCAAACATAACTTTGACTGTCCATAGTAAATCATCAGTCCTTTGTGGGCCCTAAGGCAATTCCCAGAGATGGATGTTGTACCCCACCTGCCCCTACTGAATCCACCCAGAGTAATACGTGGCCCCTCCAGGCTCCAGTCCATACCTGATCTGGGTTTCTGACCTTGTCCGTGTTCTCTACTCTCACAGTCCCACAATAACCAAAAATCTTACAGCGTCCTCTGCAATAAAGTTCATATGCATCTTAATGGTGATTACTCTTTCTTGGGTATCCTCAAAATCAAACTGTGTCAGGACAGGGTCTTCCTGACATTTCTTGTATGTCTCCCAGAATTTTCGGTATGCGGTCTCATTCCTAAATGTTACTTTCCAGTCCAAGTTGCTCAGTATCTGGATTAGACGATTCATATCAAACACACAAACCTTCAGTATCTCCAGCAGTATCAGCTTACTGAAATCCATCTTAGTCATCTCTAGCATCTCCTAGCTTATGCAAGTTACTATAGGTATGTTTATTTCAAAATCTGTGTTTTCAAAAATGCCCCTCACATCCACGTGCTCAGGGAGAGCAGGGTCTGACAGAAAGGAGGGAGAGAAGGGGCTGCCGGGGAAGAAGTTGTGGGAGGGAAGGGGCACAGAGGATAAGGGGACTACTTGGCAGCCCAGATTTATTTTCCTGGTGGTAGGAGTGGGAGGGGGGCAAAACCAAGGCAGACCTCCAATAATGTTCCATACCTGGAAAATTGTAACAAATTTATAAATTTTCCATATATAGAATCTAATCATTGGGGCTTTAGTTAAGCCCTTTATTTATATTCAGGGTCATCTTGTATTTGAGTAAATATGGCATTACCCAAATTCATATTTATGAAACCTCACACATCAGGTGGCTCTGCCACTATGATATATGTAAGTGGCAAGAGTTCTTGCAGTTACCATTGAATATTCTTAAAGTTGGATATCTCACGGTAGGCTTTTAAAGGGACCTCGCTTTCATGAGGGGTTGTTCTGAAACCTTGAGTTGTGCACCTGTCAAATTACTGGCAAGATTTTTCTAAGTTGAAATGACAGGTTTCTTTAGTATTACACTTTTTTTACTTGTGAGTATTAAAACGGAGTACAGATTTTCACTAGATCTTACATTTTACAATGTTTTCTTTCTTTAATGCAGGACTTGATTATATAATTGAATACCGCTCAAAAGACAATTTCCCTGTTCTCTATGAATGTCAGCTGTGTCACTGTCAAACAGGATTGAGTAACATGTTCATGCATGTTTATGGTGCTAAACATAGAATGGCATATCTGGTAAGATTTTTAATTTTAAGTAAATGTTCCTACTTATAGTTAATTGGATGGCAGTTATATAATGATGCCTCCTTGTGTTTTAAATATACATGTGTTAAGTTGGTAAAACTGTGTTTAAAACAAGCTTCTCTGAAGGCTTTGCAAAAATGACTAGTGTTATAAAATAAATACAACTCCACCGATAGAGATTTTTGCTGATACCGATCCGATATCAGATACAGCTGCCATCAGGTGGAAAGTCTGGTGTGGTGCAGGGGGAGGGAAGGGGCTGGGGAGCAGATCAAGGCCCCCCACGGTGAGGGCAGGCGCAGGTGCTGCCCAGCTGGGGCGGGAGGCCCTGCGGGGTGGAGGCAAGGCTCATAGGGTGGGGGCAGCTCCTGAAGCTGCTTGGACACCAGGGGGGTGGGGGGGCATGCGTCCCCTGGATCTGCGTGGCGCAGGGTGGGCTGCAGCTGCAGGCTGGAGCCAGAGCTAGGCTGCGCGGCACTTGTGCTGCAGCAGGGGGCGCATGATGGAGCCACAGCTTATGGGGTGGGATTGGCTCCCGCTGTTGCTTGCACCCTGGGAGAACAGGGATGGGGGGAGTGCCCCTGAATCTGCGTGGGGCGGGTGGCAGCTGCTGGGTGTAGCTGGAGCCAGTGCTGCACAGGGCTCTTCTCGCTGGGGGCTGGGCTCAGAGCAGGCTCCAGTGGCTCTGGGAGGAGGCTGCAGCTACCTCAAATTTTGCTGCAGTTCCGCTCCCAGCCCCACGCTGCTGCCCTCTCAGCACAGCCCTGGCTGAACACCCTGCCTCCACCCAGGCACTGGGAAAAGCTGGGGCTGTGCTGGGCAGTGGTGCTGGGGCTGGGAGCGGAGCTACAGCAAAATTTGGGGTGGCTACAGCCTCTTCCCAGCGCCACTGGAGCCTGCTCCTGAGCCCAGCCCCTGGTGAGAAGAGCCCCGTTCAGCACTGGCTCCAGCTCCACCCTGCAGCTGCCACCTGTCCTGCCCTGTGCAGATCCAGGAGCACCCCCGCTGTCCTCGCTCCCTCAGGGTGCAAGCAGTGGCGGGAGCCACCCCCACACCACAAGCGGTGGCTCCATCTTGTGCCCCCTGCCACAGCTAGGCAGTGCCTGCCCCCTCCCTCATTGCAGGGGCATTGATCTGCCCCCTCCCCCCAACCTGCCCTGCCTTCTTTCTGACTTACCAGCTTGAGGCAGCTGTCTACACTGCTGGCTTTGCTCCGTGCTGCAGTGCAGCTGCGTGCAGCACAGGCATTTATCGACCAAATAATCGGCCCCATAGGGCTAATATCTGATATAGACAATCCTCTTCATATTGGTACCAATCCGATATTAGACCGATGTATCGGTGCACCTCTAAAATAGACATTTGGTTTATGTTCTGAACTGGGTATAACACTTTTAGCTGTTCAGTTGCCTGAACAGTAGCTAATAGCATGCCTTTCTGCTTCTAATTCCCTGAACTGTCCATTCCTTTTTGTTGGTTAACCAAAGATGTCCTCTTGACAGCAACAATTAAAGCCTCAATGTAGTTCCATAAGGAAACTGTTCTTTTCAAAACTTTTTTTTTTATTGCTTTGAACTGTATGTAATTGCTGAAATTGAGCCAAAATTGTTTCCTGTTGGTTATCTCCAAGTGTGTGTTCTCCTAGGTTTATAGGAATACTGTGTAGGAGAAAGGGTACTTAACTTGGAATCAGGTATTCAGGTTGTAGCCCTATTAGTCTAGAGGAAAATGCAATCAGGACTCATAGTAGAGATAATATCTTGTATTAGACCAACAAGATTTTTGCAAAAAAAGTTCTTTAATTGCAAACTTTTGGGTACAAACACCCTTCATCAGGCACTGGAGAAAAGACTGTAGAAGTTCTTCTAGGTAGAAATGAAAGTTCATATTTCCTAGCATTTCACAGAGGAGTCAATAGATGGAAAACTCCTCTGGGCAGTCAGTTCATAGTGGTGGCAGGGAGTGGAGAAGGCAGCCAGCTATATCACACAGGGCTTCCCCCTGGTGGTGTATGAGTCCCTGGAGCTGCATGTGAGCCCCCTGCTATAGAGGCAGGCTGGCTTGGCCCCACCCCGTGCCAGCACATGCAGCTTCCAGAAGTGGCTGGAGCTGTGTGCTGCCTGCGCATGCCACAAGCACCCTGAGGGCCTGCTGCTGCTGCCTCTGGCAGGGCCTGTGTCCCATGGGGAGGTCCCCACATGCCCCCTCACACCCCATGAACATTCCCCCCCCCCATATCCTGCCCACCTAATCACTGCACTTCTGCTCCCCTGCTGGGTATGGGCCCTATGCTCCACATTCCTGCCCAGCTGCAGCTTCCCTACCTGGTGCTCAGAGCAAGCACTGCAGCAGGGCACAGGAGGAGCCACTAGAGGCTGGGGAAGCTGAGCAGGTTCCCTGTTAGCTGCAGCAGCTGCGTTGCCCAGAAGCTGTAAGTGTGGCCAGGTAACTCCCACACAGGAGGGTGTGAGGAAAGCATGGGGGCTGGGTGGAATACAGATAATTGGTAGGCACCCGCAGGCCAGATGAAATCTCCTGGTGGGCCAGAGGCAGCCCATGGGCTGTATTTTGCCCATCCCTGATCTGGAGTATCTCAGTGTTGTTTTTTGCATATATGATCTACTCAAAAATGGTTATGTGGGATCTGAGACTTTGTGGCATCCCTTAAGTCAAAACCTTGGAAGGTTACAGGGTCAAATAACTGTTCACATTAAAACCACTGAAACACAATATGTTTCAAGCAATCAGTGCCAAATAGAGGACTAATTCAGACTTGGAGGTAGATGCTAAGCCTCCCAAGATATAAATTGGCTCTGTACTGCTGATGGGACCTTTGTGGTCTCTGTAAACCGTGTCTGTTCTTAAGGCTTATTCCTACATGCCAGGCTGGATGGATATTTTACGCAACATGAAAAACAGTTTGGATTTGATGGGCAGTTGAATTTTCAGTCAAGTGGCTTACTGCCTTTGCACTAGTTGTCATAAATAGTGAGTGTCTTCCGGTATGCTGTGTCAAGACAGTTTTTTAGTGCTAATATACAGTGGGGGCCAAATCACATCTGGAATAAAAGCTATTTCCAACTTCTGGTTCCTTCACAATGCTGTTACTGTGTACAGCGTCTTTGGTACAGAGGAACTTTGGCATAAAGTATGTTGACTCACAGGCCACATCCAGATGAGTGCAGATGTTTGGTTCCCTGGGGGGCAAGTAGCAGCGGCATGCCCTATGGCACAGACATTCCTTGGGGATATCTAGCAGTGGCACATGCCCTCTAGTGTGTGGCAGGTTACCCCAGGTGGGGTAGGGGAGGCTGGGGCCAGCAACTGTGCTGGCCTCAGCAGCTTTACCTGGGGGCCAGGGAAGCTGAAGCCACAGTGCACAGTGTAGCTTCAGCTGGCCAGGCTCTGGTTTTGAGCAGCACACGCTGCCACAATGTGCGCCACCCCACTTTTTTTCTGCATGGGTTTTTTTGACCCTGTGAGATCACAAGGTCAGCTCCCCTGCCCCCTAAGCACTGCAAGGTAGCAGTGCTGGAAATGCCTGAATGTATGGTGTGTGGCACTGCAGACAGGTTTGCAGCACCGCATATTGCAGAGCCATGCTTGTCTGGATGTGGCCACACTAGAAAAAATCTACATACTCAGAATCTTGATATTCTGAGTGAATAGTCAAATGAATGTTTTTCAAATTGATACTGTCTGGATGGAATAGTACTATGTATTCTGGCCATGTAGACCAATGAAGAGAAACCTCTGACATTTTTTCAGAGGATTTGAGATTTGCTAACGTCATTGGTTGGATAGAAATGCCAAGGGTATTCCCAGAGCTGTAAGTCATGAAAGGTTGTTTTTTTTGTTTGTTTGTTTGTTTTGTTTTTTTTATACTGAAAAGAAAGCAGCTAAATCTTCATTCTGTTACAGTTGCTTCAAAATATGTGAAGCATAAATACTGCATACCAAAGTAGACTGCCAAGTGACAAACATGCTATTTGCAAGAATCTACTGGAGGCAACCATGGCCAAAATGAGAAATAGAACACTCAGTTCATTTTCTCTAGTTAATTATTTTTTTGCTCATTTCAAGGAAGCATCTCATCTAGAAGGGAGTAAGCCCTGTCCATTTCAGCTGATGTTTTTTCCATTGATATTCACTTTCATCCTTTTATGGAAGGCATGGATGCATATGCCTCGACAGATAGGAAAACAGGTTATTTGCCTGTGGATGAGTTTTTCAAAATAGACCAGAGAACCAGCAGATGGGGAACTGAGGCACAGAGAAACCAAAGGTTTTGGTCACGCAGGAAGTTTGTGACCAGAAAAGTAAATTGAACCAGGGTCTCTGGATTCCAAGGCTGATGCCCTATACTCTTGACTATCTTTCCTCCTACTATAGTTACTGCTACTGTTTTACTTACAAATATATATACTTTACTGTTCTTAATTCTTGGATATAAGAACTAATGAGATGGGTGTGAAATTTGATGACTTTTTTAATTATTAAAGTCTGCATTAATTGAATGGGTTGAATATTTTTATTTCTAGAGGCAACATTATCCTGAGATAGTTGAATCAGATGAAGTTAGAGGTCGAGGTTCTGAACTGAACAGAAGACTTAAACAAGTTGCAGCAACTATTGAAATGAAGGAAGGAAGAAAACAAATAAAGGTAATTTTTTATTAAGCCCAATACTTCTTTCATATAATGTGGGCAAATTGTTACTGTTTTTGTAAATCATTGTTTTGATTATCTATGTGAAGAACAAGAATAGCATTTGTTTTGGACCCCATTTTCCTTTATTCACTAAGAAATGCCTAATCCAATATTTTTCATTTTAATTAAATGCACAATATTTAATTCCAAACAAATTATACAAATAGCTCTGCATTGCACTGAACATTCCCACCGGATTAACAAATTCACAGTATTTTAGCCCAAGGGAACAGATTTCTAAAAGAAATAGAAATAAATAATCGATACTAATCGTTCTGTAGTTTGTATTGTATATTGCATAGCCCTTCCCTAACTAGTGTAGAATAAGTTATTTCCCAACAGTAATGCTAAAAATACCTTCATACGAACAATGCAAATATTACAGGCAAAGCCATGCAGTGCTAAGAAATGTCATCAACTTATGCATTATCCATTGTAGTTGTCTGAGCTGCTGTGTTATCAGTTAACCATTTAACCAATATAATTAGAGGAGGTAAAACAGATAATTTTTTAAACAATATTTACAATCCTATTCCCTAGTATGTGAAATACTGTGAATTTGTTAATGTGGTGGGTATGTTGTAAAGCCCATCTGTTTGAGTGAGCATTTGTGGAGACAGCTGACAGTGAGATTTCTCTAGGAAAGTATGGCCGGAGCTTTAAGTACCATTAGTCACGTGCTTGGTGATCAGATTGTGTGGTAAGGTAGAAGGAGATGTATACTGCTTTAGCTAACTGCTTTCTATCTTCTGGTGTTTTTAAATGTATATCAAGTGCATCCAGAATTTTGGACCGGTGTCCTTACGGCACTGGGGGGGGGG